TTTAACAGGGTGCTCGTTTGATGGATTTCCTTGATGCTACCAATAATTGTAAGATCAGTTTCTGCAGAATTATCATCAACAGTATTGAGAGCTTGCATATGTACCTGCACAGTCTTCTTCATCCATTATCTAAGTACAGAAATAACAGCTGACAAATCTTGTGAGGTAAGTATGAGGGTCAGCTGTTGCCTCCCCAGAGGAGGGCTGCTGGGAGTAGAAGGGCACAGCCTTAGCATGCACAATCCTCCCATCCTGCTCCTGCAACACAAGTCCTTCCACTGGCAGAGACTGCGGGCACAGACTTCTGGGAGATGTCCAGGGAGGTGTATGCACAGCTCCTGTTAGTGCTGGTTGATAAGCCCTCCTGGGTGCATGAGGCACTAAGACAGGGTGGGCTCTTGCTCAGGCAGCGATGTTTGCTGGCCTCAAGAGGAAAATGATCCCCAGAGATCCAGGAAAGCACAGCATGGTTGCATTCCCTTTGGACACGGGAGTGACCCAGAGGATGCTTCTGAAGACACTTTCCTTCCGTTGAGACCTCCAGCCCATAAATTCAATCAAAAGTGTGACATTAACCCATGAATGAAGAGTCCTCTGGTCGAGATCAGGAATTTGGTCTTGGAAAATGGAGGATGCAGTCCTGTCTCATATGCTGACCTGTGAGGAATGCTCATGGCATGACTTGCTCTCACATTGCTTCCTAATGCAAAATGTGGAAAACTGAGGATTTTTTCTCTCCATCTCTCAAGACTGTAGGAAAAAAACACTGTAACTTTAAGAAGTTGTGAGTGGAGTGCTGATATGTCAGTGGGCTGTGCCAAGAAACTCCCTGTGATATGAGAGTGTGCTCTCCTTCCCAGAGTGAAATCATAAAAAAATTGTCTGAAGGAGAAATTAAAATGGAATTGAGAGAGTTTTGGAGACATCTGGGCTGAGAAGTACTGACCAATAGCTGAGGTTCTTATTATTTTTCCTAATCCTGGAAGAGAACATACTTCTTTTTTGGTATTTTGTTGATATATTTTTTTCTAGATTGTCCCAGAACACATAGCATTTACGACCATTGGATTTAGATTTCTCAGTATTGAGAGCAGCAATGGGTCAAATGAAAATGTCACTTACACGCAGGCTGCTGCGTGATTGCTGGCACTTCAGAGTGGGCAAGATGTGCCAGGTTCGTCTGAAATTGCCACGCAATCTAAGATGGTGCTTTGGAGAGCTGATCGCAGGCACCAAGTAACACTGGTGATCACACCGAGTGGTTATGTGAGTGGTTATGGAAGTTCTGCTGAATGTGACAATGCCAGAAGGCCGCTCTGTCTTGTGACAGAAACAAGAAGGGAACGAAATACTACACTGTGGTGGAAAGCTGATCTACATCTGGTGTGTCATCTTCCATGTTTGTAGACGGACATCTTCAGACATACCTGGGGTAAGAGCCATACCCTGGGTTTAACACCGTCACTTCTATACCATTATTTTTAGAATTGTGTGAGCTCACTGCCATGGTCAATCAGCATGGAGGGGATTCCTCTCCCCTAACACTGGCTGTTTAAGCATTCAGTGACTGGGCTAAGGTATGCCCCTTAATGCAGGGGCACTCCCTTTATAGACAAGGGAGTGAGGTGAGCTTGTCCAGAAGCTAAGATGTTATATTGCAGAGGATTGTATCATACACTGGGTATGCCTTCTCTTTACCCTAGCTACAGTGGGAGTCTATAAATTGCCTTCCAGTAGATGCCTGAGTTTGCTGAGGCTCAAGGGCTGGTGCTGCCCAACCCAAATCAGCACAGAGAAGATGGACTTTGCTATAGCACTTCGTATTTCTAGACAATGTTATTGCGTGATTCACTGCAAAAATTGTGTCTGCCTGTGGTGTTTGCAGAATGAGTCAAATACAAACACTTTTCTTGTGAGGAGTACGTTAATCTCAAACCGTGCCACTAGCTGTAATCCAGATCTACTCGATATCTGCCTGTTTCCCTTCTTCATGCCTCCAGTGAGAATCCATGATATATTTCTTCTGTTGCAAGGATTAACAGCTGCCATTTCATAGAATCATAGAATACCCTCTGCTGGATGGGACCCATAAGGACCATTGAGTCCAGCTCTTGGCCCCACACAGCATCAACCACGCCATATGTCTGAGGGCACTGTTCAGACACCTCTTGAACTCCAGCAGCTTCATGCCATGGCCACTGACCTGAGGAGCCTGCTCCAGAGCCTGACGCCCTAGGAACATTCACCCAGGAACTGGTTCCTCATTGGAAAAAGGAGTTCTGTGGTCACAGGGAGCCAATTCTGTCTCTGAAGTACTGAGGGGAGCACTTTTTATTTCATGTACCTGTGAGGTTCTATGAACCTGGTGATCAATGCATCCCAATTCCTCACAGCCTTTCCCACATTGCTGTGAGCCTCCTGGCACATTGCTCTGGGTCTATGTGGAGAGCATGGACAAGTGTGACTGGGACCAGAGAGAATGATGAGATTGTGAGAATACAGACCCTGCTTAGGGCTCAGGTGGGAAAGACCCAGCGTGTTGCATGGTGATCTGACATCGCAGATCTCTGAGCCCACTCCTTTGCTCTATTTGCTACCACTTCAAGGGACAAAACTGCCAAAAAGGACCTGAATATTACTGTAAGTAATGAGAAACATAAAATAATCAGAGCCAATTCTAACTGGCATCAGTCTTTAGGAGAGATGCAGCTCTGTATCTTATTCAGATCGTACCCACAGAACTAGGAAGTATGTACTTGGATCAGAATTTTTCTTTCTCTGTGTTTATGGCCTCAGTATTTGAAGAGGTTTTGTGTTCTTTAAGGGCATATTAAACTTAAAAATTGAGACACTGTGATAACATCCAGAGGGCTCTGTTTTAATGAGTGCCTCTTACATTTTCCATCACCTGACTGAACGCAGCTCCTGCTTCTTTGAACCTCTTGTTGTTCTCGCAGGAAGCGGCACTAACATGCTTTAAAAGCATACAAATAGCTTCTGCTGTGACGAGCTCTTCGACATATCCTGCTCTGTTTTGTTGTAATACGCATTTTGGTTCACAAATGCCCGAGCTAACGGAGGTAATGCCGAGACAAATCCCAGCATTACAACCTGTTTTTCCATTTGTTTGCTTATGATGCATAAGATCTGATTCTTTGGCACTTCAGCAACATCTGAGGCCGGAGGTAGGTGTGACAGCATCCCGAGTGTGCGGCGTCCCTCAGGGGATGCTCAGAGCTGGGCTGCAGCCAACCTCATACACTCAGTGCTTTGAACTTTGTTATTTCATTAAGAAAATGGATTTTAGGTTTGTCATCGATTCAGCATCCATAATGTCCAGCCACCTTCCGTGCTGTGTTCATCTCCTGGCTGCCTTGGGACGCACACAGGTGTGTGACCCCAAGCACCCGCGTTTGGGGCAGTACAAAGCTGGGAGGATTTCAGTGCACTTTCTCAGCTTAAAGGGAGGGATACGACGAACGTCGCAAGTAAGGCGGAGGGGAAGCAGGACTGAGACGCAAAGCTGTTGGGATGTGCAACCTGAAGGAGGCAGATTGCATGCAGGATGGGATTTGGGCAGAAGTCACTGCGCTGAACGGTGCACCCTCCTGGGGAGATGCCGAGCAGCCCGGCTGGAGGCAGGGGGTGGAATGTGCGGGCACCGTGCTGGTGGGAGAGCACCCCAAAGGGACCTCAGAGGGACCCCCTGACGGGAGACGCCCCCCGGAGGTAGGGAGTTCTGTGAGGGGGGCAGGCGGGGAAGCGCATCGCCTCGAGGGTGAGGAGCAGGGGAGGATTGCGGGCAGTGGCGGCCGGGGACAGCCGAGGGAGAGGAGCAACGCCCGGAGCTGGGAGTGGGGAGCCGTCCAGGGAACGGCGGGGGTTGTCCGCGCCCATCGGCCCCCCATCGGCCCGCGGAGCCTCCCAAGCCCCGTGCCATTGCGCCCCGTCGGTGGGGCCCGGAGAAGGCGGAGGAGGGAGTGGAGGGTCGGGCGGAGGGAGCCGTCCCGAGGGCGGAAAGTTTCCCGGAGTGACCTCTCCGCGTACGCGCCCGCTAGGAGATCTCATTCAAGTGTTTTTGTCAATGGGAAAGGGGGGGGGGGGGGGGGGGCACGGCTCCCGGCCCCCGGCCCCGCTGACGTCACCGCAGAGGCGATAAATATCTGTTGATATAATTGGACGTGAGATTTGGGGTTGCGATAGCGAAACTCGGCCCATCGCCGCTCCGACGGGCCCCCATGATTTATTCAGCAGTGGATCGGGGCACGCAATCGGGCTGTCAGGAGAGCGTCAGCTTATTAGGCAAGTTCTGCGTGATTCCAGGAGAGGGTCTAAGCTATAAAAATCCCGCGCCCCGGCTCTGATTAGGACCAAATCTGATCACAAGTTCTCCGGGAGGAGGCTCCGAGGCAGAGCCAGAGGAAGGACGCCGGGCACCGCCGGGCACCGCCGGGCACCGCCGGGCACCCGCCGAGCCCCGCCGCCTGCCGCCGCCGCCGCCCC